GACTCCAATCCCAATCAATCATGACGAGCATAGGCGCTAGTCGTTGACGTCACGAATGACGCGCAACGCCTGGGGGGCATGACACACCCGCAAAGGAGAAAACCCCACCCTCAAAAAAATATACTCAAAGAGAACCCCGCGGAAACCGCGCCCACAAGACAACCGCGCCTCACCTCGCAACGAACGGAGGAACCTCAAGATAGTCGCGCGATCACGATGCTCTCAGAGCGCACAGGACGTAGCCCGCCGTTTCTCGCGAAGCACGGGGATCCGAGTCAACAGAGCGGAGATCTCAACAGGAGGCGTTCAAGAAACACCCCCTGTGGGGGGCAATTGTTGGGCATATGACTCGGATCGTCCCCGCGCCAAAGGAGCATATCGGACCGCGCGACACAACCGACGACGCGAAGACCTTGCGCGCGGTAAGGGTAAAGCCACACGCGCGAGTGTGGAGATCGTCCCCGCGCCAAGAGAACATATCAGACCGCGCGACACACCCGGCAGCGGGAAGACCTTGCGCGCGTCAAGGGTGAAGCTACGCGCGGGAGTGTGAAGACCAGGCGTCATAACCGCAGAGGGCGTCATTGCGTTTCCCGAGGGAAGGTCACGTCAAGACTTTAGGTGCAATCATAGACAACCCTCTGACAAGTCCTAGGTTAAGGGATGGCCTATATCCCTGACACATCAGTAGTCACGTCGTTGTACCGTCTCGTAGTCCACCCTCTCACCCACCAACATGTAGCCTATAAATATGGCATTTACTCCGGTGGGTGAGGGGATCGCATTTTTCACCACTCTCTCTCTACAATAACAGCTTATCCCTCTAATATCCCTTCTCTTGCTCTCCCTCAACTCCCCAGGCTTGGACTTTCCGATCATACCCAATACTTGCACTTCTTCTTGACCCCAATTCTCACTTGAATCTAACTCCTACACTCAGTTAGGTTCAAACAATACCCTTAGGACTAGAATAAATATTGTAGTTAAAGAATGATTATTTTGTAGGATACGTCGGTCGTTTGAATGGATTAATTGTCAATGTGGTATTTATAGAGTCAAATAACTCATTAATTGTTTATGTGGTATTTTAGTGGTATTTGGATTAAAGTATCTTGTTTGATAGAACCATACAAATGTGGTTCAAATAACATTGTAAGTTATTTGGTGTCCTCAATGTATAGTTTAAATGATAATTATATTCTGTACAAAGTTCTCCTAATATGAGTTATAAAAATGGAGATTACAAATTATTTTATTATACATTTTCTCAAAATTTTGGACACAGTTTATAAAGAATACCGACTACACTACTGGCAATAATCAATTCGTCAATGCATGATATGAATTGATTTGTTCGATGATAGGATTCTTGAGAAAAAATATCAAATTTGAGTATTGCAAATATCACATACTTTGTCATTTGTTCTCGATTAAAATAACATTATGAAGAATTGGTTTTAGCTCATAAAGATTATCGAATCAAATTCACTTGGACAGGAGTATGGTTGGTTCTAAAATGGGCTACTACGTCCATTGATCCACACGCGATTTAAAGCAACCATAACATTACTCATTGATTTATTTTCATACCAAGTCAAATATAAAACTTGTCTTACAGGAAAAAACACAAATGAAGAAAATTCAATGATATTGAAATCATACACAAACAAAAATAGATAACAACACGAACTAGAAAACTAGGCATTGAAGAACAAATTTAGGACGACGAGCATGACTCTCTATATTTCAGGACCTTATGTTCTTCACTTTTGTAGTGCATCATGTGCTACTGGAATCAAGCACAAGCTATGTTTTCTTCTAACTGACGCAGCAAAACATTCGGTCATGTCTAGATTTTCAGGGGTTGTCCCAGTAGGGAGGTACCAGTCGAAATGATAGAGTAAATTTGCTAATGCAAGTTTCACCATAACCAATCCAAACGACATTCCAGGACACATTCTCCTTCCAGAACCAAAAGGGATGAATTCGAAATCTTTCCCCTTAAAGTTAGTTGGACGAACAAAGTACCTTTCTGGAAGAAATTTATCAGGTTCTGTCCAATAACGAGGATCTCTTCCAATGGCCCAAGCATTGATAATTACTTTAGTTTGAGAAGGAATCTCATAGCCATGGATCTCTGCCCTTTCTCTGGCTTCCCTAGGAAGAAGTAAGGGAAGTGCTGGGTGTAGTCTTAAAGTCTCTTGAATAACTAAATCCAAGTAAGTAAGATTCGAAAGACCTTCTTCGTTAACGTTTCCTTCACCACCAAACATGTTTCTCACTTCTTCTTGTGCTCTCTCCATCACACTTGGATTCCTCATCAGTTCGGATATGGTCCACTCTACTGTAATTGATGTAGTTTCAATGCCGCCGGAGAACATGTCCTAATATCAACCAATGGAAAATTAATATAAGATGAAATTGAATAATATGTGACGAGTATTCATGTAGCAATATGAGTGCACGAATAGATTTGCCAAATCCTACATTAAGCATATCATCATCGGGCCAAATTCGGTACCTCAAACATTTCAAATTCGTGAGTTTTATAGTTCAAGAGGCGTACCATAATGATAGCTTTGATGGTATCGTTGGTCAACGGGATCCCCAAATCATGACTTCCATCTTCCTGAAGATTAAGAAGAATATCCACCAAATCCTCCGAATCCTCAACAGCAGCAGCATCGCTCCTTCCTCTATTGCTTCGCCGGGCTCTGTGTTCATCAATGATCTCCTGCAGCAAGCCATCAACCCCCAGATGCAACTTCGTTAGGTGAGATCTAAACCCGGTCAACGCCGGAAGAAACCCGATCGACGGGAACAGATCCGACACTCTGAACGTCCCCACGGATTTGGACATCTCAGCAATCAGCCCGGAGAACAGCGATTCCTTCTTCGCCGCCATCCCGAACGCCGCCCTGAAAGTGAAACCGCTCGACGCCGCCATCACGAGCTTCCCGAGGTCAACGACGCCGACGGCAGCGGAGGAGACGGCGGCAGTGAGCTTGGAGACCTCGGATTCCCTGATGTGGCGGAAAGACGAAACCCTCCTCGCGCTCAGCAGCTCCACCACGCAGATCTTCCGGATCTGACGCCAGTAGGCGCCGTACGGCGCCAGGGCGACGTTTTTGGCGCCGTAGAAGACGATCTCCGAGGCCAGGAGGTACTGCCTGGAGGCGAAGGTCAGGTCGTGGGCTTGCAGCACTTCCCTGGCGGCTTCTGGGCTTGAGACGACGATGTAGGAGAGCTGGCCCAGCTGGAGGCCCATGACGTGCGGGCCGTGCTTTTGGGCCAGATCCCGCAGCCGGTGGTGGGGCTGGTTGCAGATGAGCTGGTGGAGGTTTCCAATCACCGGCAGCTTCCGTGGGCCTGGTGGTAATGATAATTTGTCGGCGGAGCGGCGGCGTCTGGAGAATCCTGATACGAGGATTGCCGTGGCTACGGTTAGGGATGGCAAAAATATCTGTAACCGTGGATATCCGCCCGAATCCGGCCTAGTCGGGTAGGGTAAAACCCGAACCCGAAGGACATTTAGTGGGTACGGGTAAAACCCGAACCCGAATATTGCGGGTAATGGGTGGGCATGGATTTCTCACTATCCGCCCCGAACCCGCCCGATTATACACATGCATATGTATTTTGTCTAGAAATAATCATTATTTTTCTCTAACATATTTTATATTTAGCATATAAATATAACATTTTCATGAAATTGTGTTGTTTTAGTTAATTTTCTTCATTCTAGTGAATTCTTGTCGTACTTTTTCTCTTACTTAATATAAGAATACGTGTGAATGTTAACATATTGGTTGGAGTTATGAAGAGAAATTAATATCCATGGATAACTGTGGATACCCGAAACCCGAACGGGTATGGGCATGGTTTTGATTTTCTACCCGTTTCACATGTGGGTATGGGTATGGGTAAAACCCGAAATACTTTGGGTAGGGTAACGGATATGCACTATCCGCCCCCGACCCGACCCATTGCCATCCCTAGCTACGGTGAGTAAGAAGAGGAAGGGGAGAGAATATTCCGGCAGTAGAGGTAGAGCCATTTTTGTGTATTAGTGATGGATTAGTTCAAATCGGTGGATGGTGGAAGGGGAAAGAATAAATAAAGTGTGTCGTTCCCAGACCAAATTAATAAATTGAATATTGATCACATTACCTACTACCCATGTACTGTTTTCCTGTTTTTTTAGTGTGTCAATGAAGCACTTGTCGTCTTTTCTTAAAGTCATCAGCCTTTTTCTGTGACAATGAGATCGAGTATAACCCTAGTTAGTAGTGGATTTATGTGTTTGGATAGAAGGATTTGTATTTGGTATTTGTGATTTGAATTTTTTTTAATGTCAAATTATTTATTTGAATATTATTGCATTTAATATTTGGATTTGTGTCAAAATCATGCGGTGATTCCCAAATACATATCTAGTATTATTTGTCAAATTCAAATACATTCAAACAACTAGTGATTTGAAATTTCCCCTAACAAAAGATTGGATTTGTTTGTAACATTTTAAATGTTTAGGTACTATCGTGAGAGGAAAACTATATTAAGGTACCAAAATGTAATTTTACCACTTAAATTCCAGGACCACTTTGTAAAATTTTAAACATTTTTTTTCGATAAGTATTTTTTTTAACGTTTAGGTACTAAAATTGTAAGAAAAAAAAATAATTTTGGGTATCAAAATGTATTTTCCAAAGTTTATCGTAAGTGATCATAAAATTCAAAATTAAAATAAGGTTTAATTCACCTGTATAGCCATAACTTTCACGATTTTGACAAATATAGCCACTTTTTGAAAAAATACACAGATATAGCCACATTTTGAAAACTCGTTTGACATAATTAGCCATTTTTCGTTAAAAGTTTTAACACCGTTAATATGACACTGACGCGGATGACACATGAGCTTCCACATAAGCTCCAACACACCAAATCATGCCACCTAGCTTCCACATCATATTTAAATTAAATTAAAATTTTATCTTTCATTTTTTCACTTTCCTCCTCGAGCTCTCCTTCTTCTTCCATCTCATCCCTTCCCCATCGGCGGCCTCATCGTCCCCCGTCGGCGCCACCAGAGCTTCTCCCCTGCACTCAAATCAAATACGATTGACCCAGGACCCTTCCCCTTCCTGCATCCAAATGAGTTCCTATTGATAAACTTTCCAGCAAAACCCGATGGTTTCTCGTGACCGATTCCCCTTCCTGCATCTAAATTTCCAGCAATTCTCCCCTGCACAATTCCTTTCAATCGTCGCACAATTCCTTCCAATCGACGCACAATTCTCCCCTGCACACCCATCGGATGATCCACTCACCAACGCCTAACTTGGAGGTTTTGCTAATCTGAAATCGGCCACGAGAAACCCATAAATCGAAACCCGATGACCAACGAACCAAAAAACGGCGGCTGTTGCAGATTGGGTTGAAGCTTTTCTTTGAACGACGGTGGTAGATCTGGAGACCATTTTTGCTCATCTCAAAACGAGGTCATTGAAAAACTCCTTCGAGAACAAACCCCTATCCAAGCTGTCCATCTCCTGCCAAATTAGTGCGTCGATTGGAAGGAATTCTGCGACGGTGGTTGAGTTGCGAAGGGGAATCGGTCAATTAGAGCTAAACCCGATGGTCGATGTCCTCCAACTCTCTCCACTCTCTAGGCTTGATTGAACAGATTCTTGGTAGTTCGAGGATAAGAAGGGGTAGGTACTGAGCGGTCGACGGCTGCGTGTAGTGGGATGAGAGGAATTTAGGGTTTGTGAGGCGGTGGAGCGGCGGTTGTAGAATTTGGTGGAGTAATAATGCGACAGAGGTGGCGAACCCAAGGAGATGGATTGGAAATAGGTGGTTGAGAGAAAGAGGATAACGGTGGCGGGAGCCGGGAGGCGGAAGGCGGAGGCCAGTGTCACAGGGAAGCGGTGAGGACGAGAGAAAGAAGATGCTTATTTTTTCCTTTCTTAATTTTAGTATATTTTTATTTAATTTTTAATTAATTCAAAAATGTATTTTTCCACTTTACACTTTTTGACCAAAATATGCCACGTCAGCTGAAACTGTTAGTCTAGTCAATATTCATACTTGGTCTGTTAAAGTTTTGGACGGAATGGCTATTTTTCTGTATTTTTCAAAAAGTGGCTATTATTGTCAAAAACGCGAAAGTTATGGCTATGTAGGTGAATTAAACCTTAAAATAAAAAAAAATCTAAAAACCTAGAATACCAACAAATTACGAATGAATAACCAAACAACGAATTTGAAATACACATATTCAAATGCACCCTTTTGTGATCCCAAAATCTTCTCTTTTAACAAGTATTCAGATTTCACCAGTCACTAAACACATCATTTGGCATATTGAGTTGGCCCCCGCACAACTCAAGTTGAGGAGTCTCAATGTAAAAACTATTTATGATTCCATTCTATGGTTGGTGATGTTGCCTTTTAGCATATTAAGGTACTAAATAGTAAATTCACAGCCTGAGCATATATGAGTTGTGTGGTTACTTATGAGAAGAAGACATCACTGATGCCAATTATATTACACATGGATGTGGTTGACACACCAACAAACATAATAATAATAATAATAATAATAATAATAATAATAATAATAATAATAATAATAATAATAATAAAAAAGACAGGCCAATGTACTTCAACCTCGAACTTCAACTATGAACAAATACAGCACCGTTCATAGTACTGATTTATTTTCTATATTTTTGTTTGACTTTTCCTAAAAAAAAAAAATCTTAAATTTGAGGAACCTTTTCTCAAAAGTCGAAGGAAACTATGTTTAGTACGAGTACAAAAAAACTAAAGGTATAGGAAGTGATGTATTTACTTATTATTAGAAAAATAATCAATGGGATGATGAACAATTTGTTTAGTAATAAAGTAGTGGGTGATTTTCAAGAAATGACCATTAAGAGTATGATTTAAAAATAAATTATTTTCTACAAGGATAAAGTTGGAAATGAATACTTTTTAGCGAGAAGACATGGCGAGGACGGGAGGAAGATTGTAAAGCAAAATTATGGAGCTTGAGAGGAAGACTCGCGAATTGCTTCTCAGGCTGGAGTTTGGGAGGAAGACTCCAAAATTGTTCTTCAAGAAGAAAAAGTGAAGAGTCTTGCACGAAGAGATTATCCCCTACTCTTGATGATATATATATATTTGTATTTTTCCTAATCAAGACCGAGATTTTGAAATTCATGTAATTGCTATTTCTGGAATCACTTCGTGAAACCTTGCGTTGTAATGGGAGGCAGCAAGTGCTCTGACTATACCCACACCGCTGCAATTTGCTTATCACTCTGTTTTGCATTTGAGCGTCACTGCTGACTATTCAAACAATTACTTAATAAGTTGCATATATATGATCAACTAACGATACGTAGTGTACAGATTTTTTCGGACTGAGTAGGTTAATTTGGACCTCTTCTTATGTGACTTCCCAATTCTGCCAAATTATTGCCTCATCAATTGCTCAAGATATACATGATGGATGGGTGACACAATAACTGGAATATACTTGAGAATCTAGACTGCCCTCGGGAAATATGCATGGGTTCATTAGATTTGATCTATATTTATCATTTTACAGCGTTGTTATATTAAAAATATTTTTAATAATCTATCATTTAAATATGAAAATATTATATTTTTACACTTTTTATAATAAATTCCAACCACAATCTACTTTTGTCATAAGTTCTTAACCACCTTATAGTCTAATAGTTCAAGAAATTTGAAAATATATACATCTTACCGTAGAACTACAGTCATATATAGTGATAATTATATCTTAACGGCCATATAAGTACTACATATTTGCATATTATTTGTTACAAATGAGGTCACAACAATAATTCCTCCTATTTATTGTAAGTCGAATCAAAAGCGAATCGTATTAACAATACACATGAAGAAAATGTTTAAACAAATAAGGAACAAGTAATACAAATTAAAATCTTAAGCATAAACATTGAAGAACCGAGATAGAAAAAAGAACGATGAACATGATTCCTCATCTTTTCCAAGAAGTTCCACTCGGTAGGGAAGATGAACATGATTCCCCGTCTTTTCCAATAAGTTTCACTCAGTCTTAACATCCTTCCAAGGAGTTGCGCGCATCGTATGGTATTGGAATCAAGTGCAAGCTATATTTTCTAGCAACCACGGAACCAAAACACTCTGACATATCAAGATCCTCATGAGGAACTCCGGTACTGGGGAGTTTCCAGTCAAAATGATACAATAAATTTGCTAGCATCAGTTTCACACTAGCTAATGCTAGTGACATTGCAGGGCACATCCTTCTTCCATAACCAAAAGGGATAAACTCCAAATTGTTCCCTTTCTGATCACTTGGGTGATCAAGGAACCTTTCCGGAATGAATTTATCGCATTCTTTCCAGTAACGAGGATCTCGCCCGATAGCCCAAGCATTGATGATGACTTTGGTTCCGGAAGGAATCTCATAGCCAAGAATCTCCACCCTTTCTCGAGCTTCTCTTGGAAGAAGTAAAGCAAACGCAGGGTGCAACCTTAAACTCTCTTGAATAACCATGTCCAAATAAGTTAGATCAGGAAGATCCTCCTCATCTACATTTCCTTTATTACCAAACGTATGTCTAACCTCTTCTTGTGCTCTTTGCATCACACTCGGATTTCTCATCAATTCGGACATAGTCCATTGTACTGTCGTTGAGCTCGTTTCGGTTCCAGCCAAAAACATATCCTGGTTAACAACCAACCATTTGATGAGAAAAAAAATCAATTCTATAAGAATGAGATTCAAGAAGAAAATAGCTGGGGAAATTACACTTTACCAAAAGGACTGCTTTGATTGCTTCCGTGGTCAACGGGAAATCCAATTCAGTTCCTCCACCCTCCTGAAGATTAAGAAGAATATCCACCAGATCCTGCGAATACTTGTTTGGGCTGTGATCCGCTGCAACATCGCTACCGGTACCACTAATTCGACGTCGAGATTTGTGTTCGTTGATGATATCCTCAAGCATCCCATCAGCGGCTAGATGCAACTTCACAAGGCGTGATCGATACCCGGTCAACGCTGGAAGGAATTTAAGAGAAGGGAACAGATCTGATACTCTGAAACCGCCCACAGCATCCGAAACCCCCGAAATAAGCTCCGCGAACATCGCTTCCCTGTTATTCACCGTTATCTCCTCCGCCGCCATCCCAAACGCCGCCCTGAAAGTAAAGCTGCACGTCGACGAGCCCACGAGCTTGCCGATGTCGACGCCCACGCCGCCGGCCTCGGCGGCGGCCGCGCTGATGGCGGCGGTGAGCTTGGAGGCTAATTCGGATTCCCTGACGGGGCGGAGAGAGAGGACTCTCTTGGAGCTCAGGAGCTCGACCACGCAGATCTTGCGTATCTGCCGCCAGTAGGCGCCGTAAGGCGCCAATGCCATGTCCTTGGCGCCGTAGAATACGACGTCGGAGACCAGGAGCCAGGGGCGTGTCGCGAAATTCAGGTCGTGGGCTTTCATCACTTCCCCGGCGGCCTCTGGGCTTGAGATCACGATGTAGGACAGCTCCCCGAGCTGGAGGCCCATGATGTGCGGGCCGTGCTTTTGGGCCAGATCCCGCAGCCGGCGGTGGGGTAGCTCGCAGATCAGCTGGTGGAGGTTTCCAATCACCGGCAGCTTCCGTGGGCCTGGTGGTACTAATTTCCCCACGAAACGACGTCGTCCTGGTCTGAGGTTTTGGATTAGTACTATTGATGTCGCTCCCAGGATGATTAGTGTTGTAATTATCAGTGTGATCAAGGGGATGGAGGAGAAGTATTCGAGCAGGAGAGCCATCGATGAGGATATCAATGGATCGGTGTTAGATCGATAGCAGGGCTGTAATGAATCTTATGATGTTATAGAGATGGTCTGGCAAGTGGTATCCATTATTAAAGTTATTATTATCAGCCGCCTCGCTCAATTTTGTCGTTATGAATTTTTGTTTTGTTCTTTTCTCTTAATTACAACATCATGTCAACTACCCCATCCACATTATTCAATAGCGCTGCCAGAATAGACCGGAATATTTGAAAGTTTGCTGATAAAATCAAATGGCACGGTATAGACTCGATAAAAACGGTTAGTTATGGTTCATGGTGTTTATTGTGAAACGATATTATCACTTCGTTTGGTCTAGACAACGGTTTATCATATCACATCATGGAACCAACTTACCACTTCCTAATTTGTGTGTGCATTATATTCAATTACTCACTCCATTCTCTAACTAGATCCAAGTCTGAACCCTAATTTGATGGATCCCATCCCCTACTTCATTCTCAAATCAGACGTTGTTAGAGAGTAGAGATGACTATGTACCCATATGACAATAAAGTGAAAGTTGGGCTACTCTTACTTTGTGTGTTTGTTGTTTAGTTGGAGGGTAGATTACAAGTTTGTTTATTGAGGTTACTAAATTTTTTTTACGTTAAGTCATTAAAATATTTATTTGTATTCGTGGTCACTAGAATTAGTTAAATATTTAAAATTTGGGCCACTCTCCGTCCAACTCCATTAACTTTACCTGATGTGGTAGTCAACTCTCATAATTGACCGTTAAATAAGTGGCATGACAATTAGAAAAATAATAAAAATAAATAATTTAATCTCTTAAAATTTCCACCTCATTTGACAACTATTTAAAAATAAAAATAAATTTCTAATAGTCCCCCAAACTTGTAACCCCTTACTTGAATTTAGCGTATAAAAATTATGTATGAGTGTTGGAATTTAAGTTTAAAACAACGAAAAAATTATTATTGGGTTCAAACTTTGGTGTGGTTTACCAAATACATGATTCATTTTTTACTAAATGTATTCTACCTAATTTCGACCATATAGTACCACACCATACCATAGTCGTGTTGGACCTTGGTTTGTACTCTAACTTTTTGTTCTGGACTAGACCGCGATTGTGGATAAGATAAGTAACCCTATGGTGTATAACTTTATATAATCAAATCTGGACTCTTCATTTTAAATGAGTTCTAAATCTAAGGGTTGACAACTAAAAACTTTTTTATTTTCTCTAATTTGTTAATCATCTCTAACTTGTAACTGGTTCAAAAGAGACACAATTTAATCCTGAAATTAGTTCGATTTGAGTTGGATCGGGCTGGACCGTCTCTCTGCACACCCTAGCCTAGGTAGTGGTGCTGATTGGTGAACACCCGTTTTAAAGAAAAACTTGTTTGGGCTCGTCATTCACTGGCCCAAAATCTCCCTGGGCCGTCTGGCCCTTTTTCTTTAACCATTTATCAAGTGGCTAACGGCATAACCGTATCATTCCATCTCCTTTGTAACCGTACACCGTATTCGTATTTCCCCTCAACCCCACCTCGCTCCGATCTCCATCTCCAGTTCTCCACCCACCGAGAACTCGTAACTCGCCCGCTCTCACTCACTCACTCACTAGCCCTCTCTCTCCTCCCCCCCCTCTCTCTGTCTGAAGTGACCTGGAAATGGATTTGAAAGCCGCTATTTTCAGGCAACTTTGAAGAAAGAGAAGCGCCATCTCCAAATCCTCCCCCTTCCACTCACTCACTCTACAACTCGGCCGACTGCGACATCCCCTCTCGCCCCCACCATTCCATTATAGAACCACCGTAGCACCCGCGGCTCATTGGAGCAGAGTTGGATCGCTCCGTTCTCCTCTTTGGATCCGGCGTACTACTGTTGCTACTTCTCAAGTTTTTCTCAGCCAGATCCTCCCGGATTCCTTCCCCCGAAATCCTAGCCGGTTCCTTCTGATGGGCTTGTGAGTTGTGACTGCTGCTGCGCTTGCTCGAGCTATAGGTAAGTTGGGGAATGCCGCGACTTAGACTTTTCCCGATTGCCTGCCTGTTTGGTTGCTGAAATAGTGCTATAGGTAATATTGCTGTTAAATGCGAGTGAGATTCAGGTGATAGTCAGTGGGTCTTGGTGTGAGCATATTCGTTTGGTCTGGGTGGGGTTAGAATCTTGCAATTTGATTACTCGTTGGGTTCGCTTGTGCTTGCGGCTAGTAGATCAGATTCTGCATTTGGGTCTTTAGAATGCGTTTGGGGTTTGTGATTAGATATAAGATACTGTTTGGCGGATTTCTCTGGGAGCTTACTGTTCATCAGAGTGAGTCGACCTGTTTGGATGTTTTCCCTCACTCGAATTTGTGTTCTGGAATCTAATGGATTGATTTTGGTTTTTGAAAAGCGGATTTGACTTGATGGAGTTGAGGGTTGTTCTTTAAGTGTCCAAGTTATGGTAGATAGCTGTAATTGGAACTGCCATTGTGATAAGTTTTTCTAGTTTCTTGGGGCGCTCCCTTTAAACTTGTTCTTGGCGACCTGTCTGCCAAGAAATTATCAACCTTTTGGAGGATTATTGTTTGTCTTATTCTGTTTGTTGGCTTCACGTTGCTCATTCCCAATTGCTTAATCCATCTTGCCGAATATTTGTGTTTATGGATTGATTCCTTTCATACAAAGAATTATGGGTTTGAATACTTAGGTTGTTTCAGGCAAACTCCTTGAAAAATTTACACATTGTGGGAGACATTGTTCAGGGGTAACTACTTTAAGCTCACTTTTCATGCTGTAGTGGATATATACATCTATTTGCCCATGCAGTTTCTGTCTTTTGCTAGCTTTGCGCAAGCTCCAGTCCTGTGTATGATTTTCAAAATCTGGTCCTTGCAGAGTGTAATGGATATGGACGGAGTCCTGCTCAATGATGATTTTGAGATGACCCATCAAAATGGTGGCCATGATCACAATGCTGTCTCTGGAGAGGATGATGTTTTCTCAAACAACATGAATGGAACTATGTTGGATCACAGTGTCGAGACCATTGAAGGCTCGAATGTGGTTGCTGAAGACCATGACTTGGCTGTTGCTATGGTTGGTTCTTTTCTCTCTTGAATATTTCTTCACGAGTAGATTTCTCAAGCCTCTATCATAATGCTTTTTATCTCTATTTTTTCAGGAAGGAGAGGGAGTGAAAGATGCAGATCATTCAGAGAAAACTCGATTGGTGCAGGTTCCAGGAAAGAGCAAGAATGAGAAGCTTTCGGTTGCCAGAAAAGCATCAGCGACTCAGCTGCCAAAGGGCAAGGATTTCAAAGGTGTGGCACCCCCTACAGTTGCCAAAGGGACTGCGGCTCAGAATTCACGGGCAAAATTGCCTTCTAAGACTAAGTCTTTCAGCGAGAAGCAGGTCCCGGCGGTAAAGGTATATTGTTCACCTTCTTACTTGTAAGAATATATGGTTGGCACTTCTCAGGATGCTTATGTTTACTTCGTCTTTGCTTGCTAGCAGCAATCCGGAAAGTCGGAAGCAGCAACATCTGAATCCCTCATGTATGTTTGGCTTCCTCTGAAAATTTGTCCTTTTGATGACATATTTTATAAATGACGTGAATATGAAAGTCGTTCAGATAGTTGGTGCAAAAATTTGGAAGTCTTTTCTAGCTTGAACTTGGAAATATTAATTTTCTTTAACTGCTCCCATCATAAGGAGCTTATTTTTATATTTACATGTTTTGCTACTTTGACTCTGGTATTCCATACAGAAAAAAGACAACATTGAAACCCTTGAAGAAAGCACCTATTGCTGAAGCTGATGGAGATGGGCAATCTTCTTCGTATCCTTACTGTTGCGAACATTCTGTCTCTACATGCTTTGTTGGCCCATTTCTGAATAAATTGCCAAAAGTTTCTCTCTCTTTTGCACGGGTTAATCCTTAAAAGATGACAGAAGTCCCACTGAAAGTGATGGTAAACCTCGTAAGGCAGGGGCACTTCCAAATTATGGCTTTAGCTTCAAGTGTGACGAACGAGCGGAGAAAAGGAGGGAGGTCAGTGTTGTGCTTAAACTTTGTGATGATAAATTCATAAATGTGCGGATTCGCCTGTTGCAAACTATATGTCAGCATGATGGTTGTTTCTTTCTATCTGCGCTGGGCAGTTCTATACCAAACTTGAGGAAAAGATCCATGCAAAGGAAGAAGAAAAAAATAACATTCAAGCCAAGTCTAAGGTTGTATTGCAATGACTTCTGATTTTGATTCACTGTATTGATACTTAATTATCTATACCTGAACATTGAAACTTTTCTTAAATTTTCATAGGAAAGCCAAGAAGCCGAGCTTAGGCAGCTGAGGAAGAGTTTGAACTTTAAGGCAACACCAATGCCTACCTTCTATCAGGAGCCTCCCCCAACAAGGACCGAGTTGAAGAAGGTAATCTATGCTTTCATTTCTCACTGCCTTATCATTTCGATTGCCAGTAGCGAGCTGCATCTCTCAAATTGCGTGCACAAGTGTTGTTAATCTTCCCCTGTAGCGAGCCTCTCCCACCAAGGATATAATCCTTTTATTTAGCATCCCATATAACCATGGAAAGAGGTCTTCACCGTTTGTCCTGTTTTTTTATCCAGATACCCACAACAAGGCCTAAATCCCCAAAATTAGGTAGAAGGAAGAGCTCATCACCAGCAGATGCTGAAGGAAATAACACTGAGGCAAATGGATTAGCTTTAGGTCGTCTAAGTTTGGATGCTAAAGCCTCTCAGAATGTTCCTACCCCAAAGGAAGTGGCTCCTGCCATTACAAAGAAGCCAGCCCGCAAGTCACTTCCCAGACTACCGTCTCAGAAGACCAAATTGACAAAAAACAACGGGAAAACTGGAGTCGTTGCCAAAGTAACCGACGACGAACCAAAAATCACAATCACATCAGATAAGCTGCAAGTGAATGAAGTCACCGGTCCGCCGAGAGCTAAGCTTAGTGAAATCGAGCCAGAAGAAGAGCAAAATATGATGGTAGCTGGAGGAGAACAACAAGCTCAAGTCTGTGTCTCAGAGGACTGAGAAAAAACAGTGAGTTGGGAAATGGGAATCTCAGGTTATCGACATGGGAGCCAATGTGGGTAAATAAAAGAACGAACGAACGAATGGATCTCAGGGAAGACAGTGAAGCTCAAGTGAAGATCTCTGCTTTCGGCGAGATTGTGAGACGTCTGTCTTATGTCCATAGCACAGCGGTTGGTTACCTTATTGTTGTGTGGCTTTTGCTTTCAAGGTTGCTGGTGTTCTATCTCGTAAGGATTCTGCACTGAACTTGATGATGTTGATGTTCTTTGTTTTTCTTTCTTCTTGCATAGTTCTTTTATCCTAATTTATCTCGCCAAGCAATGCGTAAAGAAGAGGGAAGGGGAGGAGGAGAAGAACAGGATTGCTTACTGAATATTTTTGAAAATGTTTTGGGGATCCTTAGGCTGCCAGAACTTACTTATATTTGGTCATATGTTTGGAATTCTGTTGGGATACTTGGGACGCTGTATTATGCTCTCTTATTTGTTCTTTGAACATGTCTTCCTCTCTGACTCTGTTCCCATTTTGCTTGTATTTTGACAACCTGTCTTCCCCACTTGGTATGATCAATCAACGATGCTTGGAAACTCAATTCAGTATCGTTTCGTGTTGGCAGTATTACACGTTCACAGAGGCGCGATGTCGATTGAGTATGTATCTTATTTCAACGACGATATTACACCATATATATTATCATTCCGTTAGCTTGTTACAAAATGCAGTATGCCTTGCACAAACGCGGCGACAGGGGAGGATATATTATATATCAAGTACTCCATTACACGAATTGTAATTAAAACAAAAAGAACACCAATTAATCCCACTGGCCAACCTCTAAAACGGCCAATTGTTAACAACATGTAATTAACCTCTGTTCATATAATTGTACTTCATATTAGAAGGAGGGAAATCAAGGGAAATTGGGGCAAGTAGTCCCTCAATATCTTTCCCTTGTTTCTGATTTTCTTCTTTTCTTCAGGTGGTAGAAGCTGTTAGTGGAGGGAAGCCCAATTGAGTTCCAAACCCAATAGAGAACCTATGGGCCGGCTGGTGGGCTTGCGGCATCCTACGCGGCTGGAATTGTTGGGCTTGTTCTTCTTCCACCTCTTCGTCTTCCTCCTCCTCCTCTTCTTCTCCCTCTTCTGCTACATCCCACAGGAATCGAGCATACGATGCTATCACATGGCTGTCATTGATCATTAACCCACCATAAGGAACCCAATAAGGTTAGCAAATTTATGATTTGGGATTTGTTTTTGAATCAAGGATCTGAAAATTAATTGATCGGAAAAAAAAAGGATTCATACCAGTCGTCGGGGGAAGACTTGACAGCCTGATTGAAGTAGGTGTTAGCACGGCCGCCGTCCCTGTGGTTGTTCCAGATGAGATCTCCGTACATGGACAGGACGCCGCCGTCGCCGCCGCTCACCAGGATGGCTCGCTCGCAGAACTCCTCCGCCCTCGCGGCGTCGCCGCGGGCCTCCTTCAAGAACTTGGCGTAATTGGACAGCAGAAGGGCGTCGCCTGGGTACATTGTGATCATATCCCTGTAATACTTGTCCATCGATTCCGTCCCCTGCGGCGGCAGCTCACCCCAGATCCCGTCCTCGCCGTCTCCTCCTCGGCCGCCTGAAAACCCTCCCTCGCCACGGCCGCCGGGTCCTCCCGCCGACTCCAACGCCGCGACGACGCTTCTCGACGCCTCCTCTAACGACGAAATCCCCCTCAATTTCAGATCCCCTTCCGAGGAGGTCCTCTGCAGCGGCGCCGTCCTAGACGAAGCCGGCACGGCCGTGATTGCGGCCGAGGACGGCGGAGGTCGGAGCTGCGAGTAGTGGAGAGGGCTCGTTCCATCCTTGATCTGCTTCTTGGATTTCCCCTTCTTGGAGGAAAACAATTTCAGATCTCCCTCCGATGAGGTCCGCTTCAAGGAAAGCGCGGGCGGGACCTGGCGGAGCGGGGAGTATTTAGGGCTGACGTGGGAGGGCGTACTGGCGGCGTCGATTTCCGGCACCACGGAGCATTGACCCACCAGGTTCTTCAGGGCCGGCGTAGAGGAGCTCCGGAGAAGCATTTTTTATACTTTGTTTGGGTGTTTTTTATTTTTTTTGGTTTTTCCTTCCCGGTGTTTCTTTTTTCCGGTGAGGGAAAAAAGATTCCGCGCGAGGAAGGAGGAGAGCTATTCAGAGAATTGGTTCTCGTCGAGTGGAGGGAATGGAGAGGTATATAAATCGGAAGGAAAGCAGAACCGGAATTCGTCGGAGGACGGCGACGGAGCGCCGTCGGTTTTCTGGATAAGTTTGATTTTGACCTATTTTCTACCGTTCACTGACGAGGTTATTATTAGTGTTGACGTGGGATCTTGGTAGCCGTAGGATTCTGTACTGTCATTTCTTTAGCGGCCAAGATTATAGGTTAAGGTTCAACTATTTCTTTTTTGGTGCAATAAGGTTTAACTATTTCAGGTAAAAAAACAAGTTAAAATTAGAAGTTTCTAAAAATATGACAGTCCAAAAGGATAACACAAGTTAACAATCAAGTAATCCAAAATTAGTTATACTTAAATTAGCGAATGATGTCTCCTACATAATAATAATACTCGGTATAACCCACATCATAAAATAGACAAGATATATAGTAAATCTCCACTTAGTAATGATAGATACAAACAAGTGATTTTAAATTAAGGTATAAAAAACTCAACGAAAAATAAAATTATGAAAGCAAAAATATGTATAAGCCCTATTTAACACATTATAATCTACTTTTGATTCATTGTAAATTAAGATGTCTTTCAATTAGGGAATTTAAAGTTCGAATCCCGGCTATACCAAGTCTATTTTTGTCCTTTACGACTTATGGTTGCATAAAAATATTTTATGATGGTAGGCGAATCCCATTTGTATTGCTTAACCAACATGCATTCACTAATTAATTAATTAATTAGTGTTAGTGGAGAAACTGCCTTTCGATTCAGAGAGTAGTAAAAGAAGCAAAATGGCTTTCCATATCCCTGAAGGGCTAATTCAATAAGTCCTGCAACCTAAGCCAAGCTTATAAATCCATGGCGGAAATCAGGAAAAACTCCATAGCCAAAACTTGACAAGCTTTACATAGTAGCATAAACAGAACAATCCATCTAATACAGAAGAAGCAAGGCAATCATGAGTTGTTCGTTCACAGAGGAGCAAGAAGCTCTGGTGGTGAAGTCATGGAGTGTGATGAAGAAGAATGCTGCTGATCTTGCCCTCAAATTCTTCCTCAAGTAAATATACTTTTCCCCCTACTCTAGCTACCCTTTTCTTCTAACTATTGAAAATATGTTTGTCCATGTGGATTGCTGTAGTGAATGCTCGTTGTGCTGGTGAACCACGTAATTTCGTATACGATTCATCTTGCTGCTTTGTCAGATTGTCGAAACAGGACAACAACGATATATGATGTAATGTTTGTTGCAGGATATTTGAGATAGCACCATCTGCAAAGAAGTTGTTCCCATTCCTGAGAGACTCGGATCTTCCCGTTGAGAAGAACCCTAAGCTCAAGCCTCATGCCATGGCTGTCTTCCTCATGGTATCTATCATCAAACAATGCATACAATCCTCTTTCTTGATGATCATCAAGTAATGGCATACTATTATTTTCTTTGGCTTTGTGAATTTACAGACATGTGAGTCAGCCGTGCAGCTGAGGAAATCTGGCAAAGTGACAGTTAGAGAATCCAGCTTGAAAAAATTGGGCGCCACGCATTCCAAATACGGCGTCGTTGATGAGCATTTTGAGGTGATTATCCATCGTGATATTAAACTATGTCGATGGATGGATGATATCGATTAAACAATGTATATCAATAGTCAATATAATTTATCCCAATACCTATAACGTAATTTGAATGTGCGCAAATGTGTATAGGTGACGAAGTTTGCCCTATTGGAGACCATAAAAGAAGCGGTGGGAGAAATGTGGTCACCAGAAATGAAAGGAGCTTGGGGAGAAGCTTATGACCAACTGGTTGCTGCTATCAAAACTGAAATGAAGCCATCTTCTTCTTCTTCTTAGACACCCCAATCAAATTCCAGCAACCCAATGTTGAATGTTCTCCAGTCAGATTATTACCATGTATCAAAATAATCAGATTGTAAGTTGTCGGAAGCAATTTGGAAAAGGAAATGGAACCATCGTTAACATCAGGGTACCTTAATTTTGTTATGTATATATTGCCTCGAATGCATGATATTGAATATATCGGATTTTAGGTCATAATTTCATACCCTAACACATAATCAGATATTCTAGTAAGTTGAATGACGAACCTAAACCGCTGCTCTCCCCACCTCTTCCCACCTCTGTTCTCTGATGCTGCTGCCGCCATCAACACAAACCTAGACCGCCGCCGTCGCTATCCTCTGACTCGCTGTTGGCAGTTGCTCCGTCGTCACGACTTATCGCCTTGCTTCTCTGCCCATCCCGCCGGTGCTGCTCACAGTTAACCTGGTAAACAAGTTCACCGTTTCCTTGTTCCCCAAATAGCTGTGGGCAAGAAAGTAGATTCGATGATGTCAGCTCTTCTGCAAACGAAGAAGAACTACCGCTGCGTGCCGACGCTGCAGCAGGTCTACCCAGGTGGCCCGTTCGTTTTCTCCTCTGATGGCTCTTTCATCGCCTGTGCTTGTGGCGAAACCATCAACACTGTTGATTCTGCTGATTTCTCAATAAAGGGTACAATCGAGGGCAACAACGAGGCTGTTACGGCGCTCACGCTTAGTCCCAATGACCAGCTGCTTTTCTCTGCCGGACACAGCAGGCAAATTAGGGTCTGGAACTTGGCCACTCTGAAATGCGAGCGCTCCTGGAAGGTAATGCAGATTTTCCTCTTTCCCGAGTAGCAATTCATTGTAATTAAGGGAGAATTGGATTGATGATGGGTTTTTTTTTTGTCTGTGCAGGGCCATGATGGTCCAGTTATGGCCATGGCGTGCCATGCTTCTGGTGGGTTGCTAGCATCTGCAGGAGCTGAAGAATAGCCTTGGTTAGTAGTCAAATGTCCTTACTCAGGTGTCTTTATGTTCTGTGGTTCATAAGTATTCTACTGAAGAATAGCCTTGGTTAGTAGTCAAATGTCCTTACTCAACCGGTTGCTTTGGAAAGACTATTTCTTGAGAGTACTGGCTACCCTGTTTAAGGAAATGCTTCTTTGAGAAAATAATTCTAATCAGAATCGAAAGGATGCTAACGAAATAAGAAACTGAGAGGAAGGAACCTGGTCGACTACAATGAATTCAGCTTGTATTGTGTTTATTAGGTTCCTCTGTTTCAATTGTTCATCAATCCTCCTCCTCCCCCTCTGTTTGTATGAGCAGAAGTCCTCAGATGTCACAGTCACCTCTAAAAGTGATGATGAGTCAAAAAGAGGCTTCAGTGGTGCTATAATTCTTCCCTGTGATGGAGGACTGGTTTCTGTGACTGCTGATCAACAGTTTCTATTCTACTCTTCGATTGTTGAAGGACAGTTAGTACTAACCAGGAGGCTAGTTGGAGACAACGAGGAAATACTGGACATGAAATTTTTGGGCGAGGATGAAAACTTTCTTGCTGTTGCTACAAATCTTGAACAGGTAAGCTTTTCTAGTCCTATGGGGTTGATGTTTGAAGAAGCCGGCTGACAGATGCTACATGCAATTCAGACCTAGTGCTAGTCGTGTAAAACATAAGTTGAAAAGAAAATGACGAATTAAGATTGCCAACACCCTGTATGGATTGCCTTTTGCTTTGAGAAACTAGATCAGTAAAAGTTTTAAAAGATTTATTTGTTCTTCTGCTTGTCTCAAAGAAAATCTGTATGATTTCCTACCTGTGGTGATTAGAACATTTTATTTACCGGGTCTGTGATGACTAATACCTGTTTTGATGTAAACAATACACGTTCGAGTATACGACTTGGCATCCAAGTAATGCTCCTATGTTTTGTCAGGTCATTCAGACATTATTTTATGTCTTGATACTTGCATTTTAGGTTGTGGGAGGGCACTTATTGCAACGGGAAGCAAGGACTACTGCCTTGCATAGTTCCTTAACTGGATACGCTCTAACAAATATTCAGGTTAGGTTGTGGGATTCAGAAACCCAGAAATGTGTTGCTATTGGCAAGGGTCACATGGGAGGAATTGGTGCTGTTGCATTTTCGAGAAAGGAGAAGAATTTTCTTGTTAGTGGTTCTTGGTGAGTGCTTTCCACTGGACCTAATAATTTCAGAAAAAAATTTAGATTATCATTCTGTAATTGTTTGGTTATATCTTCTAGTATATTGTGTATCAGGGATATTGCCCTTTTGCTGAACCTTTTGTTGTTTATTAATCCTTGCTAAGTGCTTCATCTTAATGTGACATGAATCACGCGAAGTTGATTATATGCTAGGAGCTAATATAACTTATTCCTTCTGATAGTGCCGTACAATAAAAGTGTGGAGTTTTGATGGCATCTCTTATGATGTTGACCAACCTACTGGCTTGAAAGCGAAAGCAGTGGTAGCTGGGCTGCCCATGACAAGGATATAAATTCTCTGGCAGTTGCACCAAATGATGGTTTAGTGTGTACCGGATCACAGGTTAGTGCATGTCGACCATTTGTTCCTCCTGCAGTTTTAAGTTCTTGTTTCTAATTATTCCCATTTTCTCCTTTCTTGTGGCCCTGCAGGACCGTACTGCTTGTGTATGGAGGCTACCAGATCTGGTGGCGGTGGTTGTACGTAGAGGCCACAAACGAGGAGTTTGGTCTGTCGAGTTTTCACCCGTTGGTCCATGCGTCATAACGGGATCGGGTGATGCAACAGTAAAGATATGGAGCATAGCTGACGGATCCTGCATTAGGGTATTTGAAGGTCACACATCAAGTGTATTAAGAGCATCATTTCTCACTCGTGGCACCCAATTTGTGTCATGCGGTAATGAAAGCTTACTCGTTCCTCGTGCTTTTTGTCATACATCGTAGGCCATTGCATTTATCTTGTATCTAATTGATTCTCCTATTGGCTGAAGGCGCTGATGGGTTGGTCAAACTATGGACTATTAAAACGAACGAATGCATCGCTACATATGATCAGCATGAGGACAAGGTGGTGGAGAACACTTGAATTGAGGGTCTCTTCAGTTTTGTATTTGTCCAGCAAAGATGTCCTGGGTGGAATCTTTTACAACATATATTTCACTCTTTCTTTAGGTCTGGGCTTTGGCTATTGCGGAAAAGACAGAAATGTTTTGCAACTGGTGGTGGTGATGCTGTAGTCAATCTATGGTTGGATTCTACTGCTGCTGACAAGGAGGAAGCATTCCGTGAAGAGGTGAATTGATTTTCATATAAGCGTATTCCAAATTCACGATTCCCTTGCTGTGAAGTTGACTTTTACGTACGTGTGTCAGCCAGCTTCACCAAATCCATAAAGAGAAGCTCCAAACCTTCTTTCTATAACTCTTTCTGGGTTAACCGAATTACGGATCCAGCTGGGTGTCGTTTCAGCTATTTAAGCCACATACTTGTTGCAACCTTCTTTCAATCTTTGTAGTGTCATAACTTGTGCTGTTGTGGTTTCCACATTTTGTGTTACCGACATTGACCTCCCCGTATTCATGCAGGAGGAACGTGTGTTAAGAGGTCAAACAATGGAGAATGCTGTACAAGATGGTGATTTCTCAAAGGCTATCCATATAGCCTTTGACCTCAATAGGCCTCGCAAACTCTTTGGGTTATTTTCTGAAATCTGCAGGTTAGTAAAAAGAGAAACAAAATACATGGATCCCTATTTGTTGAGCTTTTGATGTTGTATTATATATATCTACTTACTATCCCTCACTACAACAGGATGAAAGATGTTGGCCTCCAGATGGAGAAAGCTCTCTGTGATCTCGGGCAGGAACAGTTGCGTTTGCTTTTCGAATATGCCCGCGAATGGAACGCAAAACCAAAGATGTGTCATATTGCACAACTGGTGCTGTTTCAAGTATTTAACAGCATTTCTCCATCGGTGATCCTCGAGGTAAATGAATACTTATAGTCGTTTAGTCGCTACAATTTTCTCCCAGCTGGGCTTGCTAAAAGCTCTTTTGCCAGGAGCTGTGTGAAGTCTTATAGTCAAATGCCTAAATGTCTGGAGATTCGTTGCATGTTAACATTCTCAGGTTTGGTCCGTTGTCTTTATGGTTGCAGGTAAAGGGTATTGGTGAGGTGCTCGAGGGACTGATTCCATATACGCAAGAGGCATCTCAGCAGAATAGACAGAGTTGTGAGGAGTAGGTATTTGGTCGACTACTCTCTGGCTGGAATGGGGGTGGTGTGGTTGAAGCAGATGTTGATGACACAAACGAAGATCGAAAAGGCAGTGGCGAGGATAAAGAACGAGATCATGTTCAGAATAACGACGAAGCATTGGAAGAGACGAGCCTGACGAAGAAAAGGAAATCTAGTAAAACTGGAAATACGAAAAGCAAAAAACAGACCAACTCGAGCTATTGTCCATATTACTTATGCGTTAGTTCATATCAACTATTGAGGTGAAAGGTGTGCATTGTTCACGTCAATATGTGATTGGAGATGCCCGACTGTACTCATGACAAACTTGGGAGGGACTGTACAATGTTGAATGTTCATACCACCATGTAAAGAAAAAAACTTTTGCCTAACAATACGAATGTGGAAGGATCAACATGTGATTATCATGAGATAGACTTATTCCATGTCGTAATACTCTCTTTAAGTGGTAAAGCCTCATAATTTCCTCGCTCGATTCGCTGGAAAGGAGACCTCAAAATGATATCTATAGGCCGATCTTCAAGCTGTTTCAGAAATGCCCCAGTGCATTCAACTTGAGATTGGGTCTCCCGTGCCAGAGCTTCATTGTTGAGTGATTAGTAAGTAAGGATATTAAAATTGTTGGATACATGACTATCATAATGGTTATCATGTCAATTAAGCATTTCAATGAGTCTGAAATCAAGTTTTTGACCACATGATAAATAAACAAGCCATCTCAAGGCCCCGACCACCCACAAATTTTACATCTCATCAGATTGGTAGGCCATCATGCTGCAAAAACAATGAATCAACATTCCAAATCCCATTAAATGGGTAGGCCATCATGCTGCAATGCAATGAATCAACTTCATCAACGTCTCTTTCTCGATGTTGCTTTCCTCCATTACCATTAACGTCAAAAAGCAACCCGATTCAATATTATAGTGTTACTTTCAAAGGAGACAACCTTCCTCAACATTCAAACAAAGCAATTTCCATGTTGACATCAACGATACACCATATTCCATCTCATATCGAAGAGGTTTCAACAAGAACAGCAGACATGAAACAGACAATTGAGTAACAGAAATCATTTATTTATTATCATATCAGAGCATAGAACAACAAAGGGTGGTTGGGAGGAGAGATCATCTTTCATTACATAATACATTAGTGTTACAAGCTGCAAAACAGAGCTAAGGCGGAGGAGACTTTTGGCTTGTTGAAAAACAAGGAGCTTGACAGAAAAAACAACCCCCATTGAAGAAGGTTGTCATGGCAAGCAACGATATAACATGCTGCCATGGCCAAGAACTCCAAGACAAAAACCAACAGGCCAAACCAACTCCCCCCCACCAAACTCCCACAAAGCAGCCCGTAAATGAAGACCATTGACTCTCAAGACTTTCCCCTCCTCTACCATCCTTACGACGAAAACACAAACCCAACAACCATCACGTCTCACAACATGATTACAAAAAGAAGATAGAAGACCATAACTAGTAGTGAACTCACAGACCGACTCCTCGACACGGATTGGCTTAAACAAGGAAAAGCTTCACCCAAACACCAATGATGGGGGATCAACAGGCTTGAGCTAAAACACCAGGAAGAAGAAGGAAGAAAACCCCTAGGGAAAAAGGCAGAAGAACGAGAACCCAGTTGACTGTATTCTCTAGGGAAACTACTGGCCACAAAGAAAGTTACCGCGCTCCCCATTTGTTAGGGAGAGCTAAATAGACTTGTAACAGACTTCCCTCGGGCGGAGGTAAAGCCTGCGAAAAAAAGAGAATGGCCATGTCCCTAGGAAAAAGGAAACCAAGTCCTCGGAGGAAGAATGCAAACCCTACTCGGCTGATTGGAGACCGAAAGAAACTACACAAAGGCTGTTGTTGATGCAGCTGCCTACTCCTGAGTAGCAAATACCGTTCTTGCTTCAATAAAGCACATCACACCTCCACAGTTGTTCCACAAGTAGTTCCGAGGTGCAGCTACTGATTGCACTGCAGTGCTGAAGATTCAACCCCAACAGAGTCTGTCCCAACTTCACCAGGCTTTTGAAACTCTTATCTGATACCATGGAACAACCTGAGACAGAGAAGACCTGCAGACCGAGCAGGCCAGAAGAAGCAGCCAGGGATCCAACACCACCATCAGTGATTGAGCATCTTGAGACATCAAGATCACTGATCAAAAGGCAGCTTTTTGCAATAGCCACCAAACTTGCATCGGTGATCCTGCTACAACCCTCGAGATTCAGGGTCTCGAGGGTCCAACCGTGGTGCTCAGCCATCTCCATCACAACTCTGTCGGATAAATTGGTGCAACCACTGAGATTGACCTTCACTAACCCAGACTTGCACATCTCGAGTACTAGGATCAGCCCAGAATCAGTCACACCCTGAAGACCGGTGAATTCCAAATTCTGCAGTTGAGGACACAGCTTGCTCAAAAAGGCCAAGCTACCATCACCAAACCCAGGGCAGTTGCGGATGGACACTGATTGAAGGGATTCACACTGGGAAGGCGGCAAAGGTGTTTCAGCAGTCAAGTCCCTAATGCCCATGCAGTTCACCAGAGAGAAAGCTTTCAGCTTTGTGCCACAGTTTAAAAGGGAACCAAAAAACCCAAACTGGGTGATCCTGTGGCACTCCTCCAATTGCACGCTCTCTAGTGCTGCTGAGAACTTCACGAATGCAACTAACCCATTGTCGGATAGGAATGCACATTTGTTGATAGATAACTGCTTCAAATTTGGACAACCCTTGCCCACCGACTTGATCCCAGCATCAGTGGCCCCAGGGCAGGATGTCACAGCAAGGGACCTCAATTTCTGTAGACCATGGCCATTGCCCATGACCCAAAATCCCCTTTCACTGACATTTGGAAGGCTGGAAAGGCTAAGATCTGTAACCGACTTGCCATAGTGTCCAATCACAGCCAAAGACACATCACTGATGTTCAAAGCCTGAAGCTTCACCTTTGTCAAGGCATATGAAGCAGACGATACCAGGCCAGCAATTCCTTGATCACCAACAGCTGGACAGTTCTTAATCGAGACAGACTTTATATTGGCACAAGACTGGCCAATAGCTTGCAGGCCTTGATTCCCAATGTTCCCACACGACTCTATTGTAAGGTCTGTAAGACTGGGACAATTCCTTGCAATAGCCTGCAAGCCCTTGTCTGTGATTCCAGGACACTGACAGAGATCAAGCTTCTCTAGCTGGCGGCATCCTTCGGCAATTTCACAAAGCCCCTCATCAGTCACAGATGACAATTTCCAGAGAGAAAGTACCCTTAGGGAAGGGCAGCAGCGGCCAACAGCTTTAAGGCCAACATCTGTCACCTTACGACTCGAATTGCAACCACGAATGGAAAGCTTGCCCAATCCACCGCGAGTAGCAGTTCCAACTGCAACGGCTGCAACTCTTACATCTGTAGCCTTCTTCCCCTCCAAGCTCCTTGAAAGGTAACCATCACCTTCAGTTTCTTCAACAGATTCAGAAATCACAGTTTCTGTAACTTTCACATGGCTAAACTCTTCCCTGCGGATGCTGCTGAGAAGGTTAAGAAAGTGCTTTGAAACACATGCACAAGCGCTCCTTTCTTGTCCTTCCAAGCGTCTGAAGACCTCAAATAGACACTCATCGGGGAGAACCTCGATAGAAGTCTGCTTCTTTGGCTCAAACATACCCCCATCAAAGATGAAGGGAACACTGACGCGAGACCTCTTGCGCGAAGGATAGTATAGATCGACATGGTGACCAAGCGGCAAAAAGAGGCTCGTGTCCTTGGGGTTCGTGTATACTGTGCCCCCAGAGTTAAAGTCGTCGCTTCCTGCAATAGACCAAACAACAGAGTTCAATATTCTCATTCGCAGAGGCCAATTTCTACAAATTTGCCTATGTTCAAGCAAAACTACAACACAAACGTATGACTAACAACATCCAAGAACTCGATCTTTAGCTGAACGAAGTAGATCTGCCCTCCCGTTCATGTTCAACCCTCAAATATTATGTCCCGATAACTTAAAGACATAGCTCCAGCGATCGACCTAAAACTATCAAACCAGGCTAACCCCTCTAATTCCATCAGATTAACAGGGGAAAAAGCAACCAATTATATCAATTAGCCAGAATCAGTGACCCTTTCCTAGCTTCTCACAAGTCGGCAACCAGATCCAAAGAGTTGACAAATTCATACGAAATTCTCAACAACAACAACAAAAAACCGCAAGCAATTTATCATCCGATCGACCCAAAATCTCAAAACTTTCACAGGAAATCTACAAAACCCAGCAGCAGAGATGCAATCCAAAAGGAAAGGAAATTGGAGAAATCGAGGGCTTACCAGCGAATCCGAAGAGCTGAGACATGGATACAGCGCAAAAACCACAACGGAAAACCCTCCAAAGGGAGCAAAAAGGAGCGAACCGGCGACGGCGAACACGATCAGCAGCAATAATACACTTTGGACGATTTGGAAACCGGGAATCATATAAGAGAGAGTTTATCAGAGCCAGCGGTGAACCCTACGGAGAGGGCAAAAAGGAGCGGAGGAAGAAATGAAAGGGGGTAAGGCGAAGAGGAAGAAGAGGATAGGAAAACAATGGAAATGGAAATTGCGTCAAGGGTGGGTGGGTATTTGAGTGGTAAAGGAACAAGGAAGCGGAATTAGGACGGTGTACAGGTACCGCACTGGAACACTGCCCACATGCAATGTATTTGCCCCCCCCTTAGGAATTTGGCAGTTTTTTTAATTATTTCTTTTTCCCCTCTTTGGAGTTACAAATTAATTTTGTTATTGATTTTAATAGTTTTTGTGATAATGATTTCTTTTATTATTTTTATTTTCTTGGAGTCCAGGTGCATTCATCATTTCTTCGGTTTTGGGTACATTGAATTGGTCCACCTGAGAGAAAGAAAAAGGAAAATAAATGCCCAGAAAAGAAAAGGGAAACCACCCGGTGGTGGCTTTCAGTCTGACGTGTGACGTGGGTGCTGTTTGGTTTCGTATGTCCTCTAAAAGGTATGTCCTCCGAAGAGTAAACTATATCGGTATCACTTAAATTTGATAATTGGAATAGTCATTCCACTTAAATTTGAATAGAATATCGGGTACCATTAAAATTCTCAAAAAGTATATTCGTCTAATTTTCCGTCAAACCCAAAATTTAATTATCTTTTAGTACTCCATATCAAACGACATAGGCATGGTTTATGTCGTTTGATATGGAGTTCAGCCATTAGCTATGTTTGGCGTGAGAGGTGTAATCGATTGTATGGTTCAAAAGTGATTAGGCAGCCTGAAGTGTTAGCGAAGCAAGTGCAAGCTGATGTCTCTTATAGAGTTTCTAGTGATCTTGCCCTCCGGGCAGAGTTAGAGTATATAGATAGTATACCTTGTTAGATTTTCTG